GGAGTGACCAGTGAGAAGATTCCAGCTGTCACTCAGGAAGACGTGGTGGTGCCTAAGACCACAGTGGCAGTGGCTGAGACCATGGGGAAGGGGCCAGACTTGAGAGCTGCTAGGGAAGGAAAACCACAGGGCCAGGGAGGGAGGATGGCATGGACGTGGAGCAGCACCCCATGGCGCTCAGCATGGAGGACCGCATTCACCAGCCTGTTGCCCTTCCCTTGCCCAAAAGGCTGCCACAGCCTGGGTCCCACACAGATCTGGCATCTCTCACAGGCTTCTCTGGCACCCACACTGGACAGAGCCCAGCAAATCCAAATCCGCTTACCTTCCTTGAGTGAGAAGCTCAGAAGATCCTGAGGAAAAAGGAAGTGGGAGTCAGTGGCCAGCAGACACACAAAGGGAGTGCTCAGGGGACAGATGTCTACTGACTCCTCCCCTGGGCAGATAGAGACAGGCAAAACCCTGCTGCCCTCTTGCATATGGGTGCTTCAGACAATGAACAAATTAGCAAGCAAAGAAACGAATGTACGAACTTCAGGCACAGGAGGAAACAAGCAGAAAGGGTTGCTTCCTCTCTTTGCTCTAAGCTCATCAACGCAGCACGTCACAAGCTTCCGCCTGCTTCAGCGGCACACAGAGCAAGCCCATGAGGTGCCTGGGGGTCCAGGGGCACCACAGCTCAGGGGAGCACAGGTTCTGGAGTCACACCACCGAGGTTCAAATCCTGGCTTGACCTCATACAAGTGGGGTGAGCTTGTGGCAAGTTAGTCAACCGCCCTGGGCTTCACTTTTCTAAACTATCACATGAGAATAATCATATAGGTAGAGCAGCTCAAATAAAAAAACAAAACAGAACAAAACAAAACCCTAAATCCAAATGCTCCCAAATCTGAAATTTTTTGAGCATCAATCTGATGCCCCAGTGTTCTAAACCATGAAATTCTCTTTCATGGACCCAGTAATTAAAAATGCTATACAAACTTGCCTTCAGGCTGTATGTGACATAGACATGAACTTCATAATAAGATATGGGTCCCCTGAGACTGGGGATATGGCTTTGTGGTACAGCACTGGATTGGTATGCTTGAGGCTTTGGTTTCCATCTCTGGCACTTAAAAATTTTTTGTTTTTCTGATTCCCATTGTCTAGACTTGGGTTCCATAGTAACATATCTCATTTGCATATGCAAATATTTCCAACAAATCCAAAACACTTCTAGCCTCAAGCACTTTGGAAGGGATGTTCAACCTGTATTACCTAGCTCAGAATGTTTGAGAATTAAATGAGTAATTTTTGTAAAGGTATAAGCATATAAGTGCCATAGGGACTTTAAATTGATAGTAATTATTCAACATCACCATTATACATTATGATGGGTATTTTATTTATTTATTTTTTTGCAGAACCAGGGATTGAACTCAGGCCCTTGCGCTTGCCAGGGAAGCACTTATTTCACTGAACCACCTCCCCGGCCCAGATATTTTATCTTGTAACCACTCCATGCAACTAGATGTGCTTTCCTGGAAAGGAAATGACTGGCTCCCCTGTCCCCGGCAGCCACTGCCCAGCTGCGAGGTGTACCTGAGTGATCAGTGATGGGTCACCCTTCAGGATGGGGTCCTTCAATAAAATCTGAGCAAACGTGTCTGTTCCTTCACCTCCCAGGCCACTGGCGAAAGCGGTCATGGTTGGCAGGACAGCTTCAGATAGCTCCAGCCACTTCACCAGGCCCGCCACGAACTCTGTGCAGAAAGACCTGAAAGACAGGCTTGGCTTAGGTCCCAAGCTCGGGGAGCTCGGCCTGTTCAGAGCACTGGGCTTCGTGTGAGTTGTGGTCACGGATGGAAATGGTGGCACACACACAAAACTCGGTGACTGGTGTATGAAATACAGTTTAAGGTGATGTGGATTTTACCTTCTTCTCCCACCATACTGTAGCCTTGTGGGGCATTTGGCCCATGGTCTGTTTTTACTAATAAAGTTTTATTGGTAACATGTCCATTCCTTTCTTTCCTGCCTGTGGCTGCTTGGACTACGACAGCAAGGTGAGTGACGCAGACCACTCAGCCCACGTGCCTAAAATATCTGACCCTCAGCAGCAGGTGTTGGCTGAACTCTGCTCTACCTTGCCAATTTCTCATTTTTAATAAATACAACTGAAGATTTTTTTTTTTTTTTTCTGTTTTGCAGTGCTAAGGTTAAAACTCAGGTCCTTGTACACAGTAGGCAAGCGCTGTACCCCTGGACCACATCCAGGTTCTTAAGTACGATGAACTGTAAGAAGCAATTAACCTATGGGGCTTATAACATAGATAAGAAATAAATACTTAGAGGTTTGCTTTTTAAGCCTCAGGTGAGTGAAAACTGCCAAAAGTGGTTTTTTTTTTTTTTTTTTTTTTTGTTTGTTTGTTTGTTTTAGGCAAGGGTCTACAGGGTGTTCAGGGTCTCACTACAAGATTGGACTCTAATAGTGATTCTCCTGTTTACAGCCTCCCAAGTACTGCGATTACAGGCACACGACACCACGCCCAGTCTCAGTCGCTGTCTCAGCGCACCCTGGGGGAGGGGGGGCTGGCACAGCAGGCCCAGGGATAGACACAGCCCGGGCCCCTATATCTGCTTGCAGGCGCTTTAATCCGCTGAGCTATATGGCCAGCCCCTAAAAGTGTTTTCTACAGATAACCCAACTAACATTCCATTTGGACTTGAAAAAGATGGAAGTTTTAAAAAGATGCATTGTGTTCCAGAAAACAGATCAACAAAAAATATGACAACACTGAGCATCCTTTTTTAATTTTTAAAAAAATTTTTTAAGCTTGTGTATCTGATTTATTTCACTTTATGTTTTCCAAGTGCATCCATTTTCCTACAAATGTCTTGAATTTCTTTCTTTTCTTTTTCTTTCTTTCTTTTTTTTTTTGCAGAACCAGGCATTGAACTCAGGCCCTTGCACTTGCCAGGGAAGCGCTTATTCCACTGAGCCATCTCCCCGGCCTGAATTTCTTCTTCTTTAGGAGAAATTGTTTTTATAATGACAAACCTAGCCATTGGGCATTCACCTAACATAGCAGGAAATTTGGATCACATAAACAGATTTTCTCTTACTTCTACAAAGATAAGCTAAGACACATTAGTTTGTCTTAATGTGTTACATTACATTATGTAACACAATATGTATAGGCACATTTTCTCACAAAATAATCTAAGCAATACACTGTTTTTCAATTAATGTACTGATATTTGAGTTTTAAAAAAGGAAGTTGAGCTATATTATGGTTATAAAATTTTGTATTTTTTTCAATTATAGTAAGCATTTTAGTACATAAATTCTCCAAAGTTATAATACATTATTTAAAAGCTTGATTTTTTTTGCATTTTTTATTGAGAAATAAATATGAATGAGACAGTTTCAAAGCTAATTAATAGGACAATTTCAATAATCAATACACTGTACATTGCTATCTTCTTAGTGGTTATCCATAGTACAAGAAGCAGACAGGATATCCTGTCCAAACACTATTAGTACACCTCTTTCTACTCATTGAATTAAGTGAGAGTACCTGTATATCTATCCTATTATATATATATATATATATATATATATATATATATATATATACAAAATAATCTTTCTTATTTTTAAAAATTTTTTTTGTCCTGTCAGAGGTGGATATTCTATTGGCATCTAAATACTATAGATGTTTGAATTCAGCTAACCAACCCAACACTGTCCAGCAGTCTATAATATTAGTGGGTTATCCTCAGAAGTTGTTGACTTGATCCTTTAACAGCTCATTGTATTAATATGGCTTTACTTTATATACCTCGTTTTTAAACTTTTCTGCTGGATGGTTAAGACCAAGATAAAGCAAGACCTATATAACAAGGAATGTAACTTATGTATCTGATAAGGTCAGTCAAGTACCCTCAGGATTTATCCTGTAGCCCTGTACCGCACTTTGTAGATCCTTTGTCAACACTGAGCATCCTGACTTGAGGGATGTCCCTGTAGTAAACATCTACAGCAGCCAGCAGCTGCCTGTGCCCAGAGCCATGCTTGGGTACAGGCTGGGAGAGGGGACATGGTACAGTAGTTCCCAGTGCCCTCCCACATGGTGTCCAGGACCAGTCTGGCTTAGTCCTTGTTCATGAATATTTATGAGCAAGAAAGAAAGAACACACAGTTCTTCCTGGCTAGATACCAGTTGAGTAGGTAGGGGTTAGGGGAAGCTTCTGGAAAGATGAGGCTTTCCAGATATGGCACGCGAATGAGCAGACGAGGAGGAACAGTCTGATGGGGGGCAGGTTAGGAAAGGCTTTCTGGATGGGACCCCTGCCATGTGATCGCCATGCTCAGCAGTCAGTCCACTGGTGAGAGAAACACTCCAAATCCCGGGCATGAGGGGAGGCAAAGAGGTGGGTGTGGGTGTCAGATACAAGAACATCCCAGTTTCACCTATCCCCGAATGCTGCTTACGGTCCTAGTGATACCAGCCCTGGCCTCCTGCACAGTCCTCCCCTCCTGAGCCTTTGGGGCCACAGTCAGCTCCTGCCTCAGCCTCACCCCTAATACCCAACCAATTCCCAAATCAACTCCACTGTCCCTGAGGAAACACTGTTTCTTCTGTGCCTCCCTCCAGCCACCGTCATTGTCCTGGCACCCTGGAGTAGCCCCCATCAGCCTGAAGTGGGCTCCTGCTGCTCCAGACTCTCCCCTGAAATCCTGGAGGCCCTGAAGGCCCAAGCGCATGCGCTTAACAGTGGTTCTGACTCCACTGTATAAGTGAGTAACTGACGCGAGGGATGTCTTATCTTCCAACCAGATTGAGTCCCTTATAGGCACGGATGTGACTTTATAGTGCCTGAGGACGTGGCAGGCAGCGTGGCTGTCAATAACGAGCCCCCGGCTTGGCGTGGTGAGCACATCAATCACCGCAGCACTCTAGGAGGCTGAAGCACGACAATTTCAAGTTTGAGCCCAGCTAGGGCAACTTAGCAAGACCTTGTCTCAAAATAAAAAACAAAACACAAAAAAACAAAGGAAATGTGGCTCAGAGTGAAGGACCTGGGCGAAGATTCTCACCCTGAAGAAGCAGGGTGAAGGAGAAGCCAACGGTACTTTCACCACTGCTGGAGGGAAGAGAAATTTGTGTAACTTTCCTTCCACGGGACGGAAGTACTCACCTCTGTTCAGGTTCTGGAAACAGCTGGGACAGGGAGATGCCACAGAGGGCTGCATAGGCGAAGCGGTTGGCCTCTGTCAGCTCCCGGCCCAGGGGCACCTGAGGTTCCCCCTCCACAGCTGGCTTGGGCCCCTGAGGCTGCCTCTGGCCTGGCCTGCTCCATGTGGCCATTCCCAACCCTGCAGGAGAAAATCCCAGTGAGAAATTCTTCCAGGTGCAAAGGACACTGGAAAGGGCCACAGAATCATAGGCCACAAAGAAAAGCTTGATATATGTACCTTCATTACAACAAAGAACTTCTGCTCAGCACTTTTAGGAGAATGAAAACACAAATGCCAGACTGGGGTTTTCAACCCAGGTATCAACAAAGGACTCCTATCCATTGCACCTCCATAACTCCTATAACCATCATGAAAAAGAAAAGAAGCAAATAAAACTGGGCCAAAGGTTCAAATGGAAGCTTCTTAAAAAGGCATCTCTATGGTACAATGTTGCGGCCAACACGTTAATCATGAAAGAAATGGACAGTAAAGGCCCAAAGAAGAACCACTAGCTGCCTATTGGAAAGGCTAAAATTAAAAAGACTGACAATAACAAGTGCTGGTGAGGAGAAGCCAACAGTACTTTTGCCACTGCTGGAGGGAAGGGAAATTTGTGTAACTATTCGAAAATGGCTCAACAGCGTCTCCGACCATGAATATATGTCTTCCCTTTGCCCAGAAGTTCTACTGCTGAGAAACAAGGGCTGTGTTCACCAAGAGATGCATACACGAATGCTCTCAGCAGCTCTATCCACAAAAGCCGGCTCTCTGCATCTTCCATTTCTACATCAGCAGATTCGACCCACTGCAGATCAGAACACTGAGGAAACAAGGCGAATCTGTACTCAACATGTACAGATGTCTTTCTTTGTCAGTATTCCCTAAGGTATACGACATAACACCTGCTTACAGAGCATGTATGTGTTGTTAGGGTTCAGATCTAAAGTTTCCTCCAGGGGCTGGTGAGATGGCTCAGTGGTCTAAAGCACCTACTTAGAACAAGCTTAGCAAAGCACAGGGACCGCGGTTCAATCCCCCAGCACCACATGCCAGCCAGCCCCGCCCCCTGGTGGGCTGAGCTGGCCACACACACACACACACATACATACATACATACATACATAAATAAAAAATTTAAAAAAAAAATGAAGTTTCCTCCAGTGTTCAGTGGAGATAGGTGACTCCAATGGCCTTAGTCTGTGGAGATGAGGTGACTCGGGGTGTGACCCGGAAGGGTGTGTCCTTGTGCTAGGCTCCTCCTTCTCCTCCTCTCTCTCTTTCTGCTTCCTGGCTGACATGGGTTGAGCAGCCTCCTTCCGCCACACCCTTGCACAGTGCTGTTTTCGCTTTGGATCCAGCAGACCATGGACCAAAATCCTCAAACCGTGAGCCAAAGAAAACACCTTCCACTTAATCTGTAAGTGTCGGGTATTCTGTCTCCGTGATGAGAAAGTAATTGTATAACTAAATTAGCAATTCAGAGAGGACCTATGGGGCACTCTGGACATGCGGAGGCTTTGTGTAAACACAATGTCATTTCACACAAGGGGTTTGAGCACGGGCGGATTTGTGTACCTGTGAGTGGCCCTACAACCAATCTCAGGATACTGGGGGAAGACTAAGGTTCCAAGCTGGAAACAACCCCCATGTCCATTCCCAGAGGACTGAATGAACTAGAATCATATTTGTGCCATGGAGTATTATATAGTAAGGACAAAGAATGCATAACCACAGCAACATGAATGCATCTTACAGACAATACAGTAAGCAGATTCTGTTCCTACGGAGTGGAAGAGCATGTAAAACCAGTGCGTGGTGACAGACATCAGAAAAGGTCACTTGTAGCAAAGCACTGGCCCTGAAGGGGCATGCTGAGGCTTCTAGGTGGTGCTCTCTGGTTCTGGCTGGTGCTGACAGGATTGTCAATAGATTTAACAGGCTCTGGACTTAAGATTTGTGCTCTGTGTGTATGTTATACCTCAATGAATGAAGGGAGAAAGAGTGAGGGTCTTCCTTTCTTCCTCCCTCCCTTCTTTCCTTCCTTCCCAAGGCCACAGGAGGAGAGGGTATAAGCCAAGCTGAGCCAGGCATTCATGAGGCAGGAGGACCCTGGCACTGGCCACGGGGCAAATCCAGGAAGGAGATTCAGCTTCGAGGAGAGAGGGGTCGAGGACACCAGAGTGACCTGGGTGTGGATCCCGACACCTCCACCTACCAACAGGGGCCCTGGGTGACCCAGCCTCTCTGTGCTTAGCAGCCTACAAGTAGGATGGTACCCAGCTGCCTGCAAGAGCCACGAAGCAGCCCGGCAGAGCAAGGCATGGCGTGCGTTATGTACATTTGGTGAAGAAGGCAATGCATGAAGGGATCCACCAATAAGTGAGATTTGAAGCTGCTACCTGGCACATAGCACAGGGTGTAATCAGAAACAATACAGACAGTAAGATACTGGTGTCGTTGGGTGCCTGGGATGGGAGGGGGCTGGGAGAGTAATGCACAGTGTCTCTGGTGACTTTGTGAGGCCAGAAGGGCCATAGTGTTACGCAGGCAAAGCAGGAAGCTGGCTCTGAGGGAGTAATGAGGGTCATCCCCCAGTAAGTGGCAGACTGACAGAGCCCAAAGCCAGAGCTCTTGGCTGTATTTCATTTTTTTAATTTCCTGTATTTGGTACAGGGTCTCACTACACAGCTTGACTCATAGTAAACCTCCTGTCTCAGCCTCCCCAGCACTGGGATTACAGGCGTGCCCAGACTTGATGGTCAGCTTGGTGCGCCTGAGGCGGGGCCCACACAGCATGTGGTACCGGGGATCAAACCTGGGTCCTTGTGCTCGCCTGGGCAGATGCTTAGACTGATAAACTACCTCCACAGCCCTTGGCTGTATTGTAAAAGCTGTCACATTGCTGAGTGCTTCCTGTTCCAATACCCACACTCCACCCCACTCTTGGTCCACATATTCACATCTAGTTGATGAGAATTCTGTCCTCAAAATCCTAGATGGGCCAAGCAATTATTTAAGTTGATTGACAACTAATTTCTCATTAGTTTTGGTGAAGAAAGCAATCTGCACAACTCCTATGCAAGGTTAAATTGGGCATGAGTGGTTATGATTCCCTCCTAGAGATGAGGCACAGGCTCAGAGTGGCCCAGAGTTCCCAAAGTTACGCAGTAATTGAGGACTTCCGGCTTCGACCCTTGAGTTCCCTCCTCTGTGCCAGCATAGAGATCTTCCTTCTCTTGTTTCAGGCAGAGAAACTGAGGCCCCAAGAGACTATAACTGCCCAAAGTAACCCAGCAAGACTGACCTCTAAAGCTTACTCCAGGAGCTCAAGTTCCAGACTTGGAGTGGATTTCCTGGGCTCAGAGGTGCAGCCTGTACCACAGTGGCAGAGAAAGGCGGACAGCCCAAAGCGTGTTCTCAGGCTAGTGGTCAGGGCAATGCCGGCCGTGATGCCAACTGGCCTGGCAGTTTCCACTCTATTTAATCAACTCCATGCGCCATTTGGAGACTGCCTAATTGCAACTGTGGCCCGTTACCCAGAGGAGCTAGAGATGGTATTTTAGGGCTGGTATCTGGGGAGCTGCAGGTCATTCTTAGTTCAAGAATAAGTGGCCTGATCAGAAAAGCAGGAGCTGGCTGACACAGCTCCACATGGGAGGGCGGGATGTGCTGAGCAAACAGAAGCTCAGCTCAGGCCAAACTCACACGCTCACTTTCATTCACAAAGTCATTCATTCATTCATTTATTCATTCATAAAGCCATTCATTCATTCCAGACAACACACCCTCAATCCCCTATCATGAATTCTCTATGCAGCAGCGTGGAGTGGTCTTCTTGTCAAATACACCCATTTTGTCTCTTGCTCCTTCCCACTTATGACAGACCCGAATACCTGCAGATGGTCCACAGAGTCCTGCTCCACCTGACCCCTGCTTGCACACTCTGCCCCTGTCCTGGTCACTACACCCCAGCTATAATGGTTGTGTTTCTGCTCTTAGGAAGCCTGGTCCTCTCCTCCGAGCCTTTGCACCGCCTTTTCCCCATACCGCGAAAGCTCTTCCCCGACTTCAAATCTGGCCTGAAAGTCACTTCCTCTGAGAACCCTTCCCTGACCACCTTGCTCCCCTATGGAAGCACCTTGTTCTGTTTTTATATCACTTCTTCCTAACTAAAATGATGTTTACAAACAGCATATAAACTCTGGAGTGGCCCCCCAGAAGTTCTTACTTTCTGCTCAGGCATTTGGCAGATACTTGCTGGAGGATGAGGATGGTTTATGACCTGGGAGGCCTCATTCTGGGCCCTGGAGCAGATCAGGGGACAACAATGACAAACTCCCTACTCTCCAGAGGCCTCTGTTCCAGCAGGAGAGGAGCACCAATACACCAATACATAGGGAAACAGCAATTTCAGGAACTTGGTCAAAGTCACAGAATCAGTAAGATTTGAGCTCAGGTCTGGCTGCTGGATCTAAACTCTTAACAGTCTACTAAATAAGCAAGGAAACATTTGACAAGGAGGTGGTGAGGGGGAAGAGTAACTGGGTGGGGTGAAGGGATGCAGAGTGAGGGGGAGGGAAGGGTGACTAATGTCTGCAGCTGAAAGGTGTTATTGCAGTAGAGGTGCAGGATGGATGGATGGTTGGATGGATGGATGAGTGGGTGGATGGATGGATGGATGAGTGGGTGGATGATGGATGGATGGATGGATGGATGGAAAGGTGGGTGGATTGCTTCTCGGCCTTTTGGCTAAGATTAAGTGTAGTATCTGTTCTTATCAGTTTAATATCTGATACGTCTTCTATCCGAGGACAATATATTAAATGGATTTTTGGAGCTGGGAGATGGAATAGGAGCTTGCTCTGCCCACTCCACGCATTGACCTGGTATTGCAGTACCTCCAGGAATGGTGCACCCCCTTGGGGAAACAAAAAAAAGAAAGAAAGGTGGGTGGGTTGCTGGATGGATAGGTGGATAGATGGATGGATGGGTGGGTGGATGAATGGATGGGTGGGTGGGTAGATGGATGGATGGATGGGTGGGTGGATCAGTGGATGAATGGGTGGATGGATGGGTGAATGGATGGATGGGTGGGTGGGCAGCTGGGTGGGTGGGTAGAGAGGTGGGTGGGTGGGTAGATGGAAGTCAGGGAGCAGCAACAGAAGCAGTAGGGGAGGCAGAGGAATAGGCAAGCAAGTGAACGATGGCAAATGAGTGGGCTAAATACTGTGATGGAGGGGCGGTAAGAGGGGAGACGGAGCCCCAAATTGACTCCTGGCAGGAGATGGCCAGGGAATCAGACAGGCACAGGGTAGAAGGGCAGCACACGCTGAGACCCAGAGACAAAAGAGACAACGCTTTGAAAAAGCAAAAACAGGTGTAGCTGGGCATGGACAGTGGGTGGGCATGGGTGGGACAGGAAGACTCAGGTTTGGGGGGAAGGGATCCAGGTTTACCCACGAAGGGCTGAGGAGTCCAGAGAAGGCATTTCTCATCTATAAAGCTGATGGCTGTACAGGGAGTGGAAAGACTGCTTTGTACAGTTTCTATAACTTCCTGTGCGTCTAAATTATTTGAACATAAAGTTTAAAAATAAGTAGGATATCTGTATAGAATTTCAAAGTCCCGAGTAAATCATAAGCAAGTATTCATTCACACCACAAGTTAAAGCAGTTATTAATTTAGTAAGCAACGTACTGGAGCCTTCTGGGTGCCAGGGGCCATACTACACGTTGGGGACACAGCAGTGACTATGACAAGACAGGCAGATAGTGAAACCTCTCGCGGAGGCTGCGAGTGAGTGACAGAAACAGACAACAGATGCATAAGCTCTAAAATAAGGCATTTTAAAAAATAACGATTGGGGTGTGAAGAGAAAGAAACCTTATACTCACCCAGATTTGGAGAAACCACTGTGGAGCTCCCTTCTCTCTAAATCTGAAAACAGGTTATTCAGCTGCTGTTGGGTTCTTCAAAGAATTATGCAAATCGCCCTGGGGGAGCAAACCAGAAAAACCAGCCCTTGGGTCCATAGGGTGGCACCTGCAGGATTCCTATAGAGAGAGGGAGCCAGTTAGCCCAGGAGCAGGCACTCTCACTCCCTAGGCCTTTGTCCCTGCGGGTGACAGCAGTTTCCTTTACATACAAGACAGAGCTCTGGGACTTGTCTTGGGTTGGCTCCTTTAGTATTCCGGAGGCAACTCTTTGGACCCCGAATTGTGGTCACTGCCTCTTACTGCAGGCTTAGCCTGGGCACAGGAGTTAGGCACATGTCTCCACCACATCTTACTGTGGTGTACAACCACATGCCCGCCAGATGGGTGCTCAGAAAATGCTGCTTAGGGGAAGGAAGGAAATAACTTTTTTAGGCTTAACCAAGCGCTACCTTCCCTGGCTCTCCCTTTGCTGCAGGCATACGCTCTTATACTCCATGAGGGTCCCACACGGGGAAAAGGAATGGATCTAGAATTTCCAAGGATGGTCCAGGGCCCTCAACTAGGGTCCCCCAAGACTTCAAAGAATTTCATCTTCATCTTCCTGCCACTGGTTTAATGCCAGGAAACGGGAATATTATTGTTTGCCTCTTTCAGCCTCAGTAAGACCTTCCATAAATCATCAGGATAATGTCCTGCCCCTGCATGTCACCTTCCTCTTTTTAGGTAAGAGAATGTACTCTGCCTAAAAATGAGGCTATGTGAACCACGGGGCCAATCATATTGCAAAGATGTAGAGACATTTCTGCATGTCCCACGCTTTTTTTTTTTTTTGCACAAATATGTGTTGTTTTTAGACTCCAAAAGTTCTCCACAGAGGTTTCTATTCATGGAGAAAGAACTGGGACATATACATCCGGGGGCTGACCCTGGCTGAGTCTAAGAGGGAGCGACCTTGGATTCTGTAAGATGTTAGCAGTTTCTTTATGTGTTTGTGTTCCATGACTTCTCAATCATGACTAAGTATTGATTTTAAGATCAGAAAAAAAGAGATATGATTTAAAATTATGATATGGCACGCAGGAGCTGGCCCACGCTGGCTTCTGAGAATCAGTCTTGTACATCTCTTCTTCCCAGCTCTGTGTTCAGCCATGCCAGTGATGTGAAATCGACAGAGTAGAAACGTGGGATATTTATATCACAGGAACGGTAAATGCTACAAATCAGGGATTTTTTCCTTCCTATAGAAGTAGTCTGCCAGCATACCATTGAATGTATAATATACTGCAATGTGTTATTATTTTTTTTAAAGCTTTGCATGGGGGCTGGGGAGATGGCTCAGTGGGATAAGCGCTTGCCTGGCAAACACAAGGGCCTAAGTTCAATCCCTGGTTCTGAAAAAAAAAAAAAAAAAAGTTCTGCATGTGGCCGGGGAGATAGCTCACTAGAATAAACACCTGCCTGGTGAGCGCAAGGTCCTGAGTTCAATCCCTGGTACCACAAAAAAAAAAAAAAAAAAAAAAAAAAATCTTCAGATCAAAAAGAGCAGAAGGAAACACGTTAAAATGTTCGTGATCACTGTCCCTTGGTGGCAGGGCTGAGGAACTAGAGATGATTGGGTTGTTTTATTTTTCTATATTTTTAGTTTTTGGAGGAGTCATGAGATGATTGATTGTTTCCTAATGAAAAGCAAAAAACTTGAGTTAGTAACAATTCTGAAGCTAGGCAATATAGCACATGCCTGCAGGCCCAGCACTCTGGGAGGCTGAAGCAGAAGGACTGTAAATTCAAGCCCACCCTGGGTAACTCAGAAACTCAGCGAGACCCTATTTCAAAAATAAAAAGATAGAAGACGTGGTTCAGTGGTGGAGCACTCGCCTCGCACGCACAAAGCCCTGGGTTCGAGCCCTTGCATTACAACAAACAAAACTATCAAACCAAAAACCAAAAAAATAAAAACAATAGTTAAAAAAGAAAAGGGACTGGAGACATAGATGGGTTCAAAGGTCCTGGATTTAATCCCCAGTATCACAAAGCAAGAATTCTGCTTGGTGCTCTCTGTAAGAGGAATGTTTGACCTTAGAAAGCTCTTGCCCAGATGTCCCAGCCAAGCCAGAGGGGCGGAGGGGATGGGTAAGTCCCGTTCACCCGGCCTTATTAATAACGAGATGACAGGGGTTGGCGTGACAGAGGCAATCTTCAGCCACTCACAATGGGGGGACTGAATGGATCATTCCAACTCCAAGGACTGAGGTCATCCTGCCCCCCCCCCACTAACTAAGGCAGTGTGGTGGCAGCTGTGGGGTGGCAAGGTGCCACATGAGCTGTGTACACCGGTCCCAAGGGACACTTAGCCTTTGATGTGATTCAGGGTGAAGATGCAACCCCAAGTTACGTTGAGATTCTCAAGTGTGTCTGAGCTGCCACATGGAATCTCAGTGAGAATGCTGGGTGCTTATGACAAGAACAAGCCCCTGCTGGTCAGCTAACAGCTCCTCTGTGCCCTGGGGTCATCTCATATGCCCAGGTCTGGGTCATCAGGTCCTGGGGACAGAAGTTCACCAATGACAGACGTCGCACTCAGATACTGAGACCCTGCTGAAGGTCTTGTCCCTATCAAGATGCTGGGATGACACCAAGGAGTTCTAAGAAAGAGGACCAGCTTCCAGGGAAACCGTGTACACAGTAAGAGCACCCACACTGCAGCTGGACCACACGGCCCTCACTCAGGGTGCACAGGGTTATTATGGGATGGGACCTCACTCTGTGGCTCTGTGACGACGTCTTGTGTCTGACCAGCTAGCTACACTGTCACCAAAGAAACTGATGACTGAGTCACTCTGTTAGACGGGGGGGCTCCTTGGTAAGTGTTCAGGGAAGATTCACTGATGGATACTACAAGCAAAGGAATGGTCTCTCTCTCTCTCTCTCTCTCTCTCTCTCTCTCTCTCTCTCTCTCTTTTGAGACAGGATCTTGTTATGCAGCCCAGGCTGACCTTGAACTCACTCTGTAGCCCATGCTACAGAGTGCATGCGCACACACGCACACACACACACACACACACACACACAGCACATTCTTTGGGGCCTGAGGGTCTTTTCTGACCCTGGTGGGCAACAGGAGATACAAGGGGAGCCCTCTAACTCCGCCTTCAAATTATGCCACTAAATGACCCAGTTCTGCAACTGAAATGAGGGGGTCACATTGAACTCTCAGCAATCCTCCTGCCTCAGCCTCCTCAGTGCTGGGATTATAGGCGTGTGCACTACCATGCCTGGCAGTGGGGTTTCTTCTTCTTTTTTTTTTGGGGGGGGGGTTTCTTCTTTAGTGGTACAAAATTCCAACACCAGCAAAAAGAGGAGGAAATCAAGTATGGTCAGTGTCACCTTGAACATCCTTTAAATTGTCTTAAAAACTGCATAAGTCAGGCCTTTATGAGGTCACAGGCAAGAAAGGACTTTTGTTTTTCCAGCTGTGGCCTCTCCTCTCCTTTGGAGCAGTCAGTGAAGGTCAAGGCCAAATCTGATGAAGGATGGGGGGGGAGAGAGAGAGAGAGAGAGAGAGAGAAAATGTTTCTTTCTTGCCTCTTTCTGGCCACAATGGAATTTTTATACAATTCTGCAGTGTAATCAAATAATTAATAGAGAAATAGCGACAGCACCTTGGGAATGCTGAAGACAAATTGCTCTGACCCAAGATGGGACAGTATTTAGCTAAAAATGTGCTTTCCAACACACAGAGCTACAGCACTGTCTTAAGGCTGGATGCTAAAGATTAAAGTTGAAAAAGAAACATGTGCGTGCATGTGTGCGCACGCGCACACACACACACACACACAGCACGCACACATGCACACGTGTATGGATAATCTTGAGATGCTTCTGCCTTGCCATCTCTCCCACCTGCCTCCCCCTCCCCGGGCATTTAGGAGAGAACCCTGTTCCTTCTATATCTCTATCTCCTCATCAGACTGGAAGCCAGAAGGAAATATGGCATCTCAGGAGGTCGCCATGACAACAGTTGCAGCAAGGAAGAGATCAGACGATTCTGCCAATCATATGTGACAATCACACCAGAAGGAAAAAAAAAAAAAAGAGGTTGGCCCGGAAGGAGATGTATAGGAAGGCAGGACTGCGTGGCGTGACAGTCCGCTGCCACCAGGCAGATACGCAGGCCCCACGATGGGCATCTGCATTTACTGTTGCTGTCTCCCTCCCTCCCTTCCTTCCCACTGGCATCCTGGCACAAGCCACTGGCCTCTCACAAGGGTCACAGCAAAGGGGCTCTTCACCAGCACCCTGATTCCATCTGCTCTCACCCTGCCACTCACCACACTGTACCAAGACAGTGCCGCCTCAAACAGCTTGTGCCCATCTCTGTTCTAAACCCTCCTAGGACTTGCCGCACCTCGCCAGGCTCCTTCCAAAGGCCATGGGGCTCTCTCCCCCTCTCTTCTCTCCCCCTCGCTCATTCTGTTCCAGCTGCACTATCCCTGCTGTTCAATGACCTCACTTGGCTCTGCGAAACCACAGCCCCCTCACTGGCTGTTCCCTCTGCCGAATGCCCCCTCCCCACCATAAGCCCAACTCTCCCATCTCCTTTCTGTCTTTGCTTAAATCACAGCCTCTCTGGAGTCGAAGTCTCCTGTCCCCTCTTCCCCGCAGCGCCCGTCACGTCCTGCTTTATGCGTCTTGTTCATCGTGTCTGCCACCCTGCCAGTGCAGGGCACACTTATGAACATGTGCTGACTGAATGAAGGATTATTTTCTTTTTTTGAGGATCTGGGGATTGAACCACAGTGACCTGAGACCGACCGCTTTTGCTTAAGCAGGCACTTAAACAACTGAGCTAATGGGCAGGCCCCCAAAAGTTCAAAAGGACTTTTTTTTTTTTAAGTTGGCTCAGGGTGCCTTAAGGGCAGGTCTGGTAAGTCATGAGGATCTGCGGATCGAACCACTGTATCCTGAGTCTGACTGCCTTTGCCTAAGCAGGCAGACTGAATGAATAGTGGCTTCCACTTTTTCTTTCTTTCTTTCTTTTTTTTTTTTGAGGAACCAGGGATTGAATTTAGGCCCTTGCACTTGCCAGGCAAGCGCTTACTCTACTGAGCCATCTCCACGGCCCTCCACTTTCAATAACTGGGAAAGAATCCAAGAAGCAAATCTGCCTGGGAAGAAGAGGAAAAGTGGAGGACTTGGTAATGTTTCATTTGACCCACAAGTTTTCTTTTTTCCTTCACTACCAAGGATGGAGCCCAGGGCTGCTCTATCACTAAGCTACACCCCTTGCTCTTTTTATTTTGCATTTTGAGATGTCTCAGTAAGTTGTTCAGGCTGGGCTCAAATTTCCAGCTTCCTCAAGTAGCTGAGATTACAGGTGTGAGCCACAGCACCCAGTGACCCATGAGTTTTCAAACCATTCTTTGGGGCCCAAGGGTCTTTTCTGACCCTGGTGGGCAATAGGAGATACAAGGGGAGCCCTCTAACTCCGCCTTCAAATTATGCCACTAAATGACCCAGTTCTGCAACTGAAATGAGGGGGTCACATAGATATTACACCCAGGTCCACAGCAGTATTCACCATAGCCGAGAGCTGAATGAAAGGATCAACAGCAGGCCCAAGAGACCCACAGTAGAACCCTGATGGACCTTACAGAGGAGGACAGTGGGACACGTGAAGGGAAGGAACCCTGAAGACACTGTGAAACAGGCCAGCACAGGGAGGGGAGGGGAAGCACCATTACCACACTCATAAGAGACCCCTGGAGTAATCAAAATCTCAGGGACAGAAAGGTGAACAGTGGTTCCCAGGACCTGGGGGAGGGCAGTGGGGGTGGGGTGCTGTTGTGCAGTGGGTTTCGGAAGTACAAGTGGAAATGTTCTGAGGTCTGCTGTCCCATGATGTAATACACTGACATTAGAGACCCTGTGCACAAAATTAAGGTGGTAAATTGTATGAATGTATTTCATACATGTTAATTTTTTTTCCTATGTTGTTACCCATGCGTGATGGTACGCGCTTTCACACACCATGGTCTTGCTCTGCATTGATCCTTTCCTATCCCTGTTGTACAGGCGGGGACAGGAAGCCCTGGTGAAGTCCGGGTCGAGGTCACTAGAACGACGACACAGTACTTTAATTTGCACCTGGGTCTTCATCTGAGGCAGCCACCTTAACGCTGAAGCTGCTTCACTTCTTCTGGGTCACGCTTCCACCCTGAGGTGGCCCCCTTCAAATACAATTTATAAGCCACCAAAGTTGATGAATCCCACCAGCTCCCATCTGCCCAGAGGCTCACACCCCTCTTCTTAGCGGCTGCAACTACTGCCCCATGGGCCCAGCCAACCTTTCTACTTTCCTTTCCTCCCCTCCCAACCAGGCCTCGGCTGAAGCAAACCCCACTGCTTTCAGGGCACACAGGGATCTCCACTGGGCCTCGGCTCATGCTATTCTCCTGGCTTGGGTCCCCATGGCCCAAAGTATCCCCTTTCAAAAGTGCTATTTGCTAAAAAGGCCATTAAGTATCCTGGGACCTAGGCCCATCCTCTCCTTTCAGCCCCACCACAGCTTTAAGAGGAAGAGAGTGTCACTGTTGCCATTTTATTGATGAGAAAACTGAGGCCCATAGAAATGGAGGTCGCACAGCTGGCAAGCAGCAGTCACACCAGGCCAGTGTATCTTCAAACCCAAAGTTCTCCTGTATTTCACTAATGGGGTTATAAATGAGCACATGGGTTTCTGGGTTTGCCAAACTAATATGTGATCTGCAGCCTCTGAAGCCCCACAGGTGCCCCTGGGCCACCTCCCTTCCTGGCATAATGGCCAGCGGCTTATGTGCCGGTTCCCCCGACCAGAGGGTCAGGGTGAGGGTGGGCACAGGGCTTCTCCATCAGAGCTCTGGCTATTACTCAGATCTCAACAGCCCTCTCGCTCCTCCCTTTTCCCTCCCCAGCCTGTCAATTCATCAACTTTATCAAACTGGTCCCAGCACTGCCTGGCAATGGTCGATTTCCCTTACTACAGAAAGCACCATGAAGGCAGGGGCTGTAGTGTCCTTAGACACCCAGGAGAGTACCTGCTAGAGCAGATGTGTGATGAATGAATGAATGAATGAATGAATGAATGAATGAATGAATGAACCAATACTTATGTCCACAATTCAGAGGAAAGGACTTCAGTATGTATTTCTGAGGGATAATAGAGCTTTTTTAAAAAATGTATTTGGTTGCTGCAGGGTCTCACTATGCAGCGTGGACTCATGGTGATCCTCCAGCTTTCAGCCTCCCCAGCTCTGGGATTACAAGCTTGTGCTGGGACTCTGGCCAGCTCAGCCCACGGGGGTGGGGGTGGGGGGGCTAGTGCAGCATGTGGTGCCAGGGATCAAACTGTGGTTGCAGCACTTGCCGAGGTAGGTGCTTTGGTCTGCTGAGCTATCTCGCTGGCCCAATAGCGCTTTATATAAATGACACCCCAATTTACTCAAGAGGTATTTCCTGCAGGTAGATTTCATTACCAAGCATCTACAAAGCAAACTCAGAGCTGGTCCTAGAAGTCACGGGCTGGTGTTCAGGGCACACCTAGTCCCAGCAAGGAGGCCGGGTAGAATACTTGCTGAGCCTAGGGAGAGAGACCTTGGGATCAGATCCTAGCACCAAAAACAAACAAACAAATCCCAGCCACGAGTGAGGGTATAATTCCACCGGGGGTTAACCTCTAACCTACAGACCCATGGACTTGTGGCCTGTGCTGTGAGGAATGCAAATCTGGGTTGGGCTGACATCTGAGGAATGAGGAGGTATCAAAAGGAGGGAGGGGGAATGATACAAATGATACCCACCGAGGTCCCAAGGAGGTGGAGTAGCATAGCTGAGCAGGGGACTATCGACAGTGTCCTGAAATGGGCTGGAGGCCCGGGCCAGCTGTAGGGGCAGGGTCTTGAGGTCCACTTCCCAGAGATTTGTTCATCACTCTAAGAAAATGGGGAGCCACACAGGACTGTAGGCCGAGAGAGGTACAGCTGGATTGGCCCAGCTGCCAAGAGGGGGCAGCTATGTGAAAAGTGGGTCGGAATCCTCCCCCGTCCAGCCCTTTTCTTCCCTGTAACAAATTCAAGGAAGCAAAGCCCGCCCCCTGCACACACAATCCTCACCTGCAGCTCAGTTTATAACTGTCTCAGTATTTACAAAATACTTAGGGCACAGGAGGAGCCTCAAGAATAAACCCAGTGACCTTGCACAGGTCCCGGATCTGTGAGTCCCCTGGCTGTTCACGGAATCCATGTAGGGAGAGACAGTTTCAGGTTGATAAGAAGAAAACTCTCCAGGCCCCAACCTTCATGGAGACCCGTGACAACCTAATCAGTCTACTGCGCTCACCCAACCACCCCTGGGGCCGAGGTTTGGAGGACCAAAATGCTCCCAGAGCGCCAGATACTGCCAGGTACCCTTGGTGGCTTCGGTGCCTTTGATCCTCAGCCAACCTTCAGACAGGTACTTTACAAATGAGAGCCTCAGGGACAG